GCGCGGCAGCTCGGGCAGCGCCGTCAGCCTGTTCTCGGGCAGCAGCAGCTCCTGCAGGCTCTGCAGCCCCCGGAATGCATCCACATCTGCCCGAGAGATGGAATTGCTGCTCAGGTCTATCCTCTTCAGCTTCTCTGGAGGTGGGAGAGAATCGTGGAATTTCAGGGTTGGGATGGAGATTGCAGATCATCCCAACTCACCCTGACACGAGCAGAGACATCTCCTCACTAGATCAGGTTGCTCAAGATCTCATCCAGCCTGGCCTTGAACACCACCACGGCTGGGGCAGCCACCACGTCCCTGAGCAACCTGTTGCAATGTCTCACCACCCTTAGAGTAAAAAACCTTTTTCTAATATCTAACCTCAACTTCCCCTTCTTCAGTTTGAATCCATTGCCCCTTGTCTAAAAGGAAGGGATGGAGAGGATGAAGAGGGACCAAGGCAGACCCTTGGCAACATCCCTGAGCAACCTGTTCCGATGTTTCACCACTCTTACAATAAAAAACCTTTTTCTAATATCTAACTTCAACTTCCCCTTCTTCAGTTTGAATCCATCACCCCTTGTCCTAAATGGAGGGGATGGAGAAGATGAAGAGGGACCAAGTCAGACCCTTGGCAAGATCCCTGAGCAACCTGTTCCGATGTTTCACCACCCTTACAGCAAAAGACCTTTTTCTAATATCTAACCTCAACTTCCCCTTCTTCAGTTTGAATCCATCACCCCTTGTCCTAAATGGAGGGGATGGAGAAGATGAAGAGGGACCAAGTCAGACCCTTGGCAACATCCCTGAGCAACCTGTTCTGATGTCTCACCATCCTTATAGAAAAAACTTCCTCACATCCAACCTAGACTTTTCCCTCCTTCAGTTTGAACCCATTATCCCTCGTCCTAAAGGAGGGGATGGAGAAGATGCAGAGGGACCAAGGCAGACCCATTTATCCCCCTGCCCTGCCCCGACGCACTCAGCCCCGAGAAGTCTCCGGCGCGGACGGTGTCGATGCGGTTAAAACGAGCGTAGAGGTAGGTGGTGTCTGGGGGCAGTGGTGGGATGTGCTCCAGGTCGGCGTCGTCGCAGTAGACAGAGGTGCCAATGCACAGGCAGAGCAGGCAGCTGGGCAGCCCTGGGGGTGCAGAGCAAACCCTTGGCATAGCACAGCTCCTGGATCCTCCCGAGTACCCCAGCACGCAGGGATGGTGCCCAGGCTGTGGGTACACGGAGGCTTTACCACCCAGAGCTGTCACAGCACCTTCACCAGGGAACCAGCCCAGGGCACCTCATCCAGGGAAGGGCCAGAAACTCCCAGGCAAAAGAGCTGCTAATACATGAGCTGCTAATACATGAGCTGCTCAGGGCCAAATCTCTCCCACAGGAGATGTAAAGCTGCCAGAGCAGCAGCCTCACACCCAGGGCTCTCCTGGGCCCCTTAGCTTTTCCACTGGAGGAAACAGAATGAAATAAAACAGTTTTGCATCGAGCAAAACATCTGTCTCAGGTGCCTGAGGGCCCTGGGCAGAGGGGCAGAAGGGGTAAAGCCACGTCCCCCCACATGTGCTCCCTCTCCTCTCCCCCAGCTCCATCCTGTCTCCTGTGACACTCCACATCCATTAGTGGGGGAGTTCAAAGCAGCAAGGCAACAATTTCCCTTTGCCTCCTACTTAATTTGTCCCAGTCCAGAGTGACAGAGAATGAATAAAGATATTTATCCCTCGCTACAGGATTTTAATTGTCACTAATCTAATTGCTACTCTGTCCGACTGTCGCAATGCCTCTGCTCATTAAAGTGTTGCTGCTTTGCTGGAGCTCTTGTTTCCCAGAAATGTCTCACTGCAGCTCTCCTGCTGCTCTGTGCAGAGCCTCACCCCCACACCCCAGCTCCTGGCTGCCCTGGCAGAGCAAAGAGCTGCTGCTGGGGGCACAAAATCTGCTCCTTTTCCTGCCAAGCCCCAGCCCTGCCTCCCCTGGCACACCTGGATGCATCCCCAGGGAACCAAAGCCAGGGCTCAGCACTCACCCTGCACAGGGATGGGTGCTGGCTGGATGGGACCAGAGGTGGTTGGAGGCTGCAGTTTTGGGGGTTCAGCCGTGGCACTCAGGTTTGGGAGAGCTTCAGGGTCCTTGGGGCGAGGAGCCAAGGTGCCAACCTCGATCTGCAAACACAGCCTGGGGGTGAGGGTGGGCAACCTTCGCCTTCAGGGTGGATGGTGCTGGACAAAGGGTCAGGGGCACTGGGTAGGGCCTTATTGAGAAGCCGGACAAAGGGTCAGGGGCACTGGGTAGGCCTTATTGAGAAGATAAGTCCCCCCTGGAGAGCTCTGCCAGCTCAGGGTTTTGGAAACCTCCTCCCTCCCTGCCCAGAGGCTGCAGGAAGTTTCCTGTCCAGGTTCCTGCAGTGATGCTCTGCCTAAGCACTGGCAAGGGACAAAGTAGTTGGCAGAGGTTGGGGTTGGATAAAGCCTTTCCTACCGCTGGCAAGATTGATGGGAGAGCTGCCAGGGCTCATAGGCTTGTGCAAGAAGCTGGTTCTCCAGCTGTGCCCTGTCTGTCCCTTGGAACAAACCCCTTTCTCAGGATTCACCCAGGGGAGAGCTGTCCTGCACTCCAGGTGCTCTCCAGCATCTTCCTCACCTTCGGAGCAAGGTCACCGTAGTCATAGAGCTCCTCATAGTTGCTCAGGTCAAGGATTTCTCCATAGTTGTCCAACGTCAGGTCATAGTTGTCCAGATCCAGATCTTCATAGAGTGCCAGGTCAGCTTTTGGCTTCTCCACCTTCCTCCTCTCCTTGGCTGGGACAGCCCAAGCTGTGCCCAGGCACAGACTGGCCATGCCCAGCCAGGCCAGGGTCCACATCCTGCACCAGGCTGGGCTCACCGCTCCGAGGGCAGCGCTGGGGACCTCAGTCCTGGGGACAGATGGGGCAGTGCCCTGGCATGGTCACGGAGTGGGGAAAGCAGAGAGGGACAGGACACAGAAGCAGGAGGTGGCCGGAGCCAGCCCTGCTCTGCAGCCCTGGGGCCAAGCAGCCCCTGGCCCTGGGGACCTCGTGTGGCCTTTTGCTTTTCAGCCCATTTCACGCTTGGCCGGTGGCTGTGAGGAGAGGCCCCATGGCCGTGCTGGGCTGCCCCTGCTTCCCAGTTTTCCCAGCCCCTCGGAGGCAGGAGAGGGCTGGGAGGGGATCAGGGTCCTCCTCTGGTCCCTGGAGGCGATGGGTGAAGTGGGTGCTGGCCCAACAAA